GCAGGCTGAGTGAGGAGGATCCAACAGGCTGGCTTTGGGCTGCCCTGGGATCCGGCCCTGATCCTTGTACTCGCCCTCCTCCCTCTCCTCCCCCTCAGGACCCCACTGCACTATGCGGCCGCCAACGGCAGCTACCAGTGTGCCGTCACGCTGGTGACCGCGGGGGCCGGCGTCAACGAGGCTGACTGCAAAGGCTGCTCTCCCCTCCACTATGCTGCCGCCTCCGACACCTACAGGAGGTAGGCTCCCGCCGGGTCTCCGGGACCCCACACCCCTCTCCGAGCGTCCCCCGACTCCTCCACCCTCTCCCACCAGGGCGGAACCCCACTCAGCTTCCAACCACGATGCTGAAGAGGACGAGCCACTGAAGGAGTCCCGTAGGAAGGAGGCCTTCTTGTGAGTTCCCAGGGGAAGGCTCCCAGGGTGCACCAGCCTCTGTTCTCCCAGCGCCCTGGGGCCTCCCTCTGCCGCTGCCCTCGGTCGTTTCTGAGCAAGCGCTCTGGGGCAGCCCTGTCCCCAGCACTGGGAGCCACGCAGCTCTGCCCCTCAGGAAGCAGGTGGGTTCGAGCAGGCTAGAAAAGCTAACCACACACAACCATTAACTCCGGCGCGATGCCGACCCATGGTGACCCGTAGGGCATGGTGGAGCTGTAGGGCATGGTGGAGCTGCCCCTGTGAGTTTCCGAGGCTGCTGCTCTGTACACGAGCACAGAACCTCGTCTTTCTCCCAAGGAGCTAGCTGGTGGTTTTGAACTGCTGACCTCATGTTAGGCGGCCCAGTGGAGTCACCACTACACCACCAGGGTTCCTAGGACTGTGCTAGATGCTAAAAATAAAAGATGGATGACCCCAAAGATAGGCCCTCTAGGAGCTTATTTAGTGGGGGCGACAGCAAGCACACTGAACAAGCACAGGAGCGTGTGACGCTCACAGCAGGGGAAGCTGGCTGAGGGGCACGTGGCAATACTGCCCTGCCTGCACAGGCTTTGGGTAAATCCAAAACTTGTAAAAGGAGAAAGGCCTCACCGAGACCGGGTGGGGCTGAGTTGGGGAAAACTAGGATGGCTTCAGGTGGCTGGGAGGGGAAGGTCTTCTAGCCAGGGGCAAGTGTGCTTGGGAACAGAACAGAACAAGCACAAGGTTAGAAGCCAGGTTGACATCCGCCCTCCGAGTTCAAAGGTTAAAAGAGGAAAGTTCAAGGATGATTCTGAGGAGGAATGGAAGCTGAAGCATGGGCAGGAGTTAAAGGACCCCACCTGGAGCAGAGGCTAGGTGTGGACTGGCTAGGCCCACCCTGTCCCCTCTCTCGCCTCTCCCAGAACTGCCCTCTGGGCTGGGCCTGCCTCTGCCTCACAGTCTGCCCTCTGCTCCCCAGCTGTCTGGAGTTCTTACTGGATAATGGTGCGGACCCCTCCCTGCGGGACAGGCAGGGCTACACAGCTGTGCACTATGCAGCCGCCTATGGCAACAGACAGAACCTCGAACTGGTATGTGTCCCACCTGGGTGACAGGGTGAGTCGAGAGGTTGGGAGGGGGGGCATCGTATGCCTCTGGGTGCGTGGATGCTGGCACGGGGGTTGGTGGAGATGAACTCTGATGCCTCACACTGGGATGTAGGGGATTGCTGTGGTGGGGGGACAGGACTAAATACCCTGGGGGCCTGCACCCCACCCAGCATGTCCTGGCCTGTCCATTGCAGCTCTTAGAAATGTCCTTCAACTGCCTGGAGGACGTGGAGAGCGCCATCCCAGTCAGCCCTTTGCACTTAGCTGTGAGTCCCACACCTGCCCCCCTCCTGTCTGCCTGCTCCTTACTGCCCTCCGGTCGCACAGAGGTCCTGACACTTCAGAGTGGACCCTGCATCTGACTTCTTGTAGCGGGGTGGGACAGGAGAGGAGAGGGAGCCCCAAGAGCAGGGCCAGTGGCGCAGGGGAGGGGCAGGACGTGTCCCGCGGTGTGTGCATCGGTTGCCTGCGTGCACCCAGGCCTACAACGGTCACTGTGAAGCCCTGAAGACACTGGCCGAGACGCTGGTGAACCTGGATGTCAGGGACCACAAGGGCCGGACCGCGCTCTTCCTGGCCACCGAGCGAGGCTCTACTGAGTGTGTGGAGGTGCTGACGGCCCACGGCGCCTCTGCCCTCATCAAGGAGCGCAAACGCAAGTGGACCCCCCTGCACGCTGCTGGTGAGCACCACGCCAGGCCTGGGGGCGCGGGGGATGAGATGGCGAGCCCCAGGCCTACTTCAGAGCTTGCTGCCCGCTCCAAAGACCTCTCTCTGGGCCCAGGTTCTTCCTTCCTCGCCGCCGCCGGGTCAGGGTGCTCTCGGGCCACAGGCAGCTCTTTTTGTCCACGCACGTGTCTCTGGAGTAAGAGTAAAATTGAAACCAGCGCCGTGCCACTTTCAGATAGTGGGGCGTTCGTTTGTTTGTCTGGATTAATTTTCCCTTGACTGTGAGGGGCAGGATTCGGCTCTTCCATCTGACACGTTTGCCAGCCCCTGCTCTAGTTCCACGACTAGCTGAGAGCTTGGCAGATTGAAACCACCCACAGGCACCT